GAAGGTATATCTTTAGATCTTGCAATCGAATCTTTTTGTTTCTTGTTTTATCACTAGTTTCGTCTATAAAAGAAAACTACAGAAAAATGGAATTGAGTTTGTCTCATACGCTTCATCTTTTTAATATCTCTCGTGAGAATGATGGAAAGGAAAATTGTGCTCAAGTGCTAGAAGAAGAAATCTATAAAATGTTTGACATTAAATCTTTGAATGATGAGCATGATTGCAATCTTGTTAGTATGAATTTTTTGAATACCCATGATGCTAATGATATGCAAAGCCACAAGCTTGGGGATGCTATGTTTGATGAAGATGATATTTTTTTGTACCCCAAGTTTTGATGAGAATATTTATTATGATGAAAGCATGCCTCCTATTTATGATGATTATATTGATGAAAGTGGATTTGGAGAGGTCATGACTTTATTTAGTGATGAATCCACTATTTCGGAAGAGGTTCCAATTGATTATGAGAACAAAGTTGCTATATATGATGATTATTGTGATGACTTGTATGATATTAAGAATAATAATAACCATAAAACTTTTCATCATGATTTTAGTTTTCAATTGGATTATGCCTCACATGATAATTATTTTGTTGAGTTTTCTCCCACTACTATTCATGAGAAGAAACTTGCTTATGTGGAGAGTAGTAAAATTTCTATGCAATTATATCATGAAAAGAATGCTTTAGGTGCTGGTTATATGGTTGAATTCATTCATGATTCTACTGAAAATTATTATTAGAGAGGATCATATGCTTGTAGGAGTTGCAATAATAGCAAGTTTCCTCTCTATGTGCTTAAAATTTTAAAGTTATGCTTGTTTTGCCTTCCTATGCTAGTTGATTATTGTTCCCATAAGTTGTTTGCTCACAAAATACCTATGCATAGTAAGTGGGTTGTACTTAAATGTGCTAGTCATATTCTTCATGATTCTCTCTTTATGTTTTATTTCTTATCTTTTATGTGAGCATCATTGAAATCATCATGCCTAGCTAGGGGTGTTAAACAATAGCGCTTGTTGGGAGGCAACCCAACTTTATTTATGTTCCTTGCTTTTTGCTCCTTTTTATTAATAAATAATTCATCTAGCCTATGGTTATATGTGGTTTTATGTTTTAATTAGTTTTTGTGCCAAGTAGAACCTTTGGGAAGACTTGGGTGAAGTCTTTATGATCTTGCTGTAAAAAAACAGAAACTTTAGTGCTCACGACATTAGCTACCATTTTTTACTGGAGAGTGCTTTTAGGTTGATTCTTTTTGTAGATGATTAATAGACAAATTTCTCGGGTCCACAAATTTATTTCATAATTTGTGGAGTTCTGAAGTATACGTTTGATACAGATTACTACAGATTGTCTGTTTTTGATAGATTCTGTTCTCATTGTGTTGTTTGCTTATTTTGATGAATCTATGAGTAGTATCGGAGGGTATGAACCATAGAGAAGTTGGAATACAGTAAGTTTAACACCAATATGAATTTAGAATGAGTTCACAACAGTACCTAAGTGGTGGTTTATTTTTCTTATACTAACAGAGCTTACGAGTTTTCTGTTGAGTTTTGTGTTGTGAAGTTTTCAAGTTTTGGGTAAAGATTCGATGGACTATGGAATAAGGAGTGGCAAGAGCCTAAGCTTGGGGATTCCCAAGGCACCCCAAGGTAATATTCAAGGACAACCAAGAGCCTAAGCTTGGGTATGCCCTGGATGGCATCCCCTCTTTCGTCTTCGTTCATCGGTAACTTTACTTGGAGCTATATTTTTATTTACCACATGATGTGTGTTTTGCTTGGAGCGTCATTTTATTTTGTTAGTATTTGCTTGCTGTCATTTAGAATAATGTTTTACATCTTCATTTTTAATAAAAATGTCAAGGATAGCCTTTACCATGCTTATTTTGCAAGTATACATGTTGCTGTTTCAAAACAGAAAGTTTACCGCTGTTGCAAAAATTCCCTAGAAAAGTCAGAGAGTGATATAATGTTGAATCTTTTTGCATATTGAGATCTGATAAATCTTATACAGCTTAGTATTTTTCTTATAATTTTTTGGAGTTAGAGAAGTATGATGAATCTTGCATTCTTTACAGACTATACGGTTTTGGCAGATTGCTGTTATGTTTGCATTGTTTGCATATGCTTGCTTGTTTAATGATTCTATTTGAGGATAGGAGTATTAAATATGCAGAGACATTTAGTATGCAATGTTTAATAATAATGTTAGCAATTTGTTACAGTAGAAAATGATAAGGTTTTTGCATTGTTTTATACTAACTTATCTCACGAGTTCTTGTTGAGTTTTGTGTGGATGAAGTTTTTGAGATTTAGGGAAACCGTGATATAAAAGGAATTAAGGAGACACAGAATCTCAAGCATGGGGATGCCCAAAGCACCCCAAGATAATATTTCAAGAAGTCTCAAGAATCCAAGCTTGGGGATGCCCCGGTAGGCATCCCACCTTTCTTCTTCAACAATTATCGGTTAGTATCGGTTGAACCTAAGTTTTTGCTTCTTCACATGAGGCGTGCTATCCTTGCAATGTCATTTTTCTTGTTTTGCTTGCTGTTTGAATAAAATACCAAGATCTGAAATACTTAAATGAGAGAGAGTCCTCACATAGCTAAATAATTATTTGACTACTCATTGATCTCCACTTATATCTTTCGGAGTAGTTTATCGTTTGCTCTAGTGCTTCACTTATATCTTTTTAGAGCACGGCGGTGGTTTTATGTTGTAGAAATTAATGAACTCTCATTCTTAACTTATATTATTTTGAGAGTCTTAAACAGCATGGTAATTTGAATGAAAACTATCATAGAAGTGAATTGGATGCTATGATCAATTTGATGCTTGATAATTGTTTTGACATATATAGGTGGTGATATTAGAGTCATGCTAGTTGGGTAGTTGTGAATTTAAAGAATACTTGTATTGAAGCTGGCAAGTCCCGTAGCATGCACGTATGGTAAAAGTTGTGTAACAAATTTATTGCATGGGGTGCTCTTTTGATTGCCTTCCCTTGTGTGGAGGTCGGGGGCGCGTGATGATTAACTCCTACCAACCTCCCCCTAGGAGCATGCGCGTAGTGCTTGGTTTTTGATGACTTGTAGATTTTTGCAATAAGTATATGAGTTCTTTATGACTAATGTTGAGTCCATGGATTATACGCACTCTCACCTTCCATCATTGCTAGCATCTTCGGTACCGTGCATTGCCCTTTCTCACCTTGAGAGTTGGTGCAAACTTCGCCGGTGCATCCAAACCCCGTGATACGATACGCTCTATCACACATAAACCTCCTTATGTCTTCCTCAAAACAGCCACCATACCTACCTATTATGGCATTTCCATATCCATTCCAAGATATATTGCCATGCAACTTTCCACCGTTCCGTTTATCATGACACGCATCATCATTGTCATATTGCCTTGCATGATCATGTAGTTGACATCGTATTTGTGGCAAAGCCACCATGCATAATTCTTCATACATGTCACTCTTGATTCATTGCCCATCCCGGTACACCGCTTGAGGCATTCATATAGAGTCATATCTTGTTCTAGTTTTGAGTTGTAACTCATGAGTTGTAAATAAATAGAAGTGTGATGATCATCATTATTAGAGCATTGTCCCTTATAAAAAAAGGAAAGGCCAAAAAGAAAAAAAAGAAAGGCAAAATAAAAAAAAGAAAGGCCCAAAAAATATATATAAAGGGGACAATGTTACTATTTTTTTTCCACACTTGTGCTTCAAATTAACACCATGTTCTTCATATAGAGAGTCTCATTTGTTGTCTCTTTCATATACTAGTGGGAATTTTTCATTATAGAACTTGGCTTGTATATTCCAATGACGGGCTTCCTCAAAATGCCCTAGGTCTTCGTGAGCAAGCAAGTTGGATGCACACCCACTTAGTTTCTTTTGTTGAGCTTTCATACATTTATAGCTCTAGTGCATCCGTTGCATGGCAATCCCTACTCCTCATGTTGACATCATTTGATGGGCATCTCCATAGCCCGTTGATTAGCCTCGTCAATATGAGACTTTCTCCTTTTTTGTCTTCTCCACACAACCTCCACCATCATATTCTATTCCACCCATAGTGCTATATCCATTGCTCACGCTCATGTATTGCGTGAAAGTTGAAAAAAGTTTGAGATTGCTAAAGTATGAAACAATTGCTTGGCTGAAATCGGGGTTGTGCTTGATGGGAGTATTTTGTGTGATGAGAATGAAACATAGCCCAACTATATGATTTTGTAGGGATGAACTTTCTTTATCCATGTTATTTTGAGAAGACATGATTGCTTTATTAGTATGCTTGAAGTTGCTATTTCTTATGTCAATATGAACTTTTATTTTGAATCATTTGGATCTGAACATTCATGCCACAATAAAGAGAAATACATTGAAAAATATGCTAGGTAGCATTCACACTTCATAAATTCTTTCTTTTATCATTTACCTACTCGAGGACGAGCAGAAATTAAGCTTGGGGATGCTGATACACTACTAGGAAAATGCTTATACATAGAAGTTTACCAGTAGCGTTTGTTTGTGTCCCCACGCTACTGGTAATTACCAGTAGCACTGGGTACAAAGCACGCTACTGGTATGGCTTAGAAGCAGCGTTGGTTTCTTTGGGGCGCGCTACTGGTAAATAATTCCTGACTGTGCCCTGCGGACAAACCATAACAACGGCGTGGGTCGTAAACCTATGCCACTGCTAATGGGATAACCGTAGAGCCGGTGAGACACCTTGTGCTACCGCTAGCACAGTCCGTCAGTCCCACACCGGACCACCCCCGAACCATTACCCACCCCACCAACCGTCCCTGTTCAACCCCACATCGCACCCAACCCCGATCTAGATTCCCTCCACCTCCTCTCCTCTCCTCTGCCGCCAGGATCCCCTCCCGGTTCTTCTCCGGAATAAGGCGATGGAGCGAGAAGGGAAAGGGGAAGGGGAAGCAGTGTGTGTCGGCGCGGTGGAGCAATGGCGGACAAGCCGAGCCGGGCGCTGGTGCTGTACGCCGCCGGCCATGCAGCGCTGCTCGCCGGGGGCGGAGGGGGGAAGGGCCAGCTCGACGCATTCGCCTCCATCGCCTCCTGCAGCTTCCTCTCCATCCGCACCCCCGCTGTCAATGGTACCAATCCGCCCCCACCCCCTCTCGCGCTCTGCGCGGTTGCTCTGCGTTGCTTGCCCCCCATTAAACTGAGAGGCTTCTGGTCTTGTCTCCCAACCCAGAGGATGGAGGGGACGGGAACAGCGACTCGATTCTCGAGCTGGCGCAGCTGCTCGACGTGTGCGATGCCCTCTACTCTGTCAAGGTGTGATCCTGCTCTTCGGGTTTGCGTCCAGGCGAAGTAGTTGCACAGAGGGTTTGAGTATGCGATGCTGATTGTATTTGTTTCACGTTAGGATGGGGAAATTGCCCGGGTGGATCCGCAGGAGCTACCAGTCCCCAAGCTATCCGAGAGGTTCGATGTATGTGTGATCTTTTGCTTTGATTACTGTCAGTGTATCCATTGTAAATGCTAGGGATGACTCTGCTGCTTTATATGTTGCTTCTATTTCATGGGGCTGAGAGCTGCTATGGTCAGCAATTGCCCCAGTGTTAGCTCATTCGCGGCGAATCTTGGCTTCCATGTTTAGGAACTGAGGATTTTGCCGCGCAGTCAGGTTCTGGCAGCAGTTCTAAGGACACTAGAATAATTGACCGGGCGTTCACTCTGCTGGGATTTGCAGAGCGGAATGTCCAGGATGCGTCCGAATTCGATCTGGTATTTGTGCATGCCACAATGGAGAACACAGCCAGCAAGCTTGGGAAATTAGGGATGAACACGTATCTCAACCGTCTTGACAAATTGGTGGCTTCAGTCATGGAAGTTGCGCCGGTCAGTTCAGCTGTCGCTGCCCGTATTCATGTTTCTGTTATCTTGAGCTATGGATCTGCTACTGCAAATAAGGAAGAGGCATGCCTCATCTTGAACTCTTCAATCGAAAGTGATTCCGACTTGAAGTTACTCCATCCACAAATAACTTTATTATGCATATCCTGCAGGAATCATCATCCAATGCTACTGGCACAGTGGCAACAAGGAGTAACACGTTCTGATTTGGCCAAGGAGTTCTCTTTTGAGGAATTTATAAAGATCTGCTTAATGCACTTTTTAGAATGTTTGCCTGAATCATAGAAACTTTATCAAATAATACTATATATGCAAGTTTGTTCCCGTGATCCTGTTTATTACTTTGTTTCTTTAGTTCTTTATAATGGACAAACACTGCAGTTCTTCCTTTTCCTAGTGTGGTACTGGTGCCAGCATTAGAAACATGACAATACCTTTTTCGGAAATAGAGTTTGTAGATTAGAATAAGCCATGTAGTATTGATATTAATTCCTTGGGTAGTGGGCGGTTTATGTGATAATATAGTAACTATGGTATTACAAATTCTCAACCTCCTCTTTTGATTCGTAAAAAAATCATTTCGATAGAATGGCAGGGCTTCTCTTCCATACAACCAACTTTACCCAATTGCTTCCACAGAGCAACACCAAACTCCGCACTTAGCATCATTGTGTCAGTGCAACACCAATTCAGCACTTAGAATCATTGTATTTTGTCATTTAACTTCAGTTTTGTAGGTATGTGACAGATTTATTGCCCGTAAGCTTGTGCGACAGTTTTATGACAAAGCCCTTGCGTTTGGTCTAAAGGGCTATGCAAAGCTGTAAGTATCCAGTCCTCAGTAAGCATTTTTACATGACTCTTTTTACCGAATCTCCAGTTTTGACGTCATTCTTACTGTTTTGGTTTTGGTGCTACTGCTATACTCTCCTGTAAATTCATACTATGTGTATATATGAAACCTAATTTTAGTCTTTTTTAATAAATTAAATTCTCACTTGAGGACAAAAGATAGACCTTGTCTATCTACCCTTGTTCAGTGATGCCATTTTTTTGTAGTTCTAATTCTTCTAGGTAGTACCAACAAAGAGCAGACCAAATGATTTCTTCAGGAAAGAGGAAAAGCCCATTAACTTCAAAATTCATTTGTCAAGTCTGTGAACTGGTAGATATATATGTTCATGCTTTAGTTTGTATAGTCACTATGCTCTACCAACAGTAGATTCATGGACTTTGTTATCTTTGAAAACGTGAAAGATATCAAGGTATTGAAGTGACTACTTAGAAAAATGGATAGATAGAAAATTACCGAAAGAATTATGCCTCTAACTCCTTATGTGCTTCGTAGGTGCTGTTTCTTTTTAGGGCTTCCAACACAACAGAATTGCTTCTAATCTTTTGCGTTATCTTTTGTCATGGATGTAGCTATGTGCTGCTTGAGTGTGTAGTTAAGTTGTGCATTATGGCTTAAATAAAAATCTCGGAAAGAAATTGTAGCACATTGGCATCCACATGTACAGCATTGTTTTTCCGTGTCATTCTTCTGAAGAATCTGAAGTTTCTAAATCTCTGTTGGTAATGCTGCAGGCTTGTGGTGGCGACGCTGACGGTCGTCGAGAGGTTCGTGGACTAGATGGTCTCGTGGCTGCCGATGGATTCCTTCGTCCACTGGTGGTGAGGCACGAGCACGACATCGATCGAGGCCTGCTGGAGCTGAGGGTCAGGGCGAGGGATGTGACGGCGTCACAACTCAAGGCGGCGGCCACCGTCGGTCAGGTGTGGCTCGCGAGGCTGCTCAGTGTGTTTCGTCGCAGCTGCAGGCCACGTGATCAGGCCAGACAGGCTTCGCACATTGACTAGGCACACAACACTATGTGATAGGAATTATACATGAGTTGCCGCTAGCTACAATGAGAAATTGTGTGATGGTAGATACGACAATTGTGTGACAAAATGGAATTGCTTCATGGAGGCCACGTGATCAGGCCGGGCAGGCTTCGCACATTGACTAGGCACACAACACTATGTGATAGGAATTATACATGACTTGCCGCTAGCTACAATGAGAAATTGTGTGATGGTAGATACGACAATTGTGTGACAAAATGGAATTGCTCCATTTTATTTTATTTTAATTCCTAATAAGTTACTAGTAGCGCGGGGAGGAACTGGGCGCTACTAGTATATAGGATACTAGTAGCGTTTGTAGTTTACAAACGCTACTACTATTTCATTACTGGTAGCGCGTGTACGTAATAGCAGTAGGGCGGGTGAAACACGCTACTAGTAACTTTTTTAGCTGTAGCGTGGGGTAAAAAACATGCTACTGCTAAAATTTAGCTGCTGCACCGTAGCAGTAGCGCGGGTGCATGCGCTACTGGTATGCAAAAAACCTACGCTACTGGTAGTGTTTTTCCTAGCAGTGATACGTATCCAACGTATCTATAATTTATGAAGTATTCATGCTATTATATTATCCATCTAGGATGTTTTATATGCATTTATATGCTATTTTATATGATTTTTGGGACTAACCTATTAACCTAGAGCCCAGTGCCAGTTTCTGTTTTTTCCTTGTTTTTGAGTTTTATAGAAAAGGAATAGCAAACGGAGTCCAATTGGCGTGCCAATTTTTGACGAATTTTTATGGACCAAAAGAAGCCCCAGGAGTGCAAGAGTTGGTCCAGAAGAGTCCCGGGCTGCCCACGAGAGTGGGGGCCACGCCCACTCCCCTAGGGCGCGCCCCCTTGCCTCGTGGACAACCCGGAGACCCCACCTGACGTGAAACCTACACCAAAAAATCCTATAAATACTGAAACCTCCGAGGAACACAATAGATCGGGAGTTCTACCGCCGCAAGCCTCTATAGCCACCAAAAACCAATCGGGACCCTGTTCCGGCACCCTGTCGGAGGGGGGATCCCTCACCGGTTGCCATCTTCATCATCCCGGCGCTCTCCATGACGAGGAGGGAGTAGTTCACCCTCGGGGCTGAGGGTATGTACCATCAGCTATGTGTTTGATCTCTCTCTCTCTCTCTGTCTCTCTCTCTCTCGTGTTCTTGATTTGGCACGATCTTGATGTATTGCTAGCTTTGCTATTATATTTGGATCTTATGATGTTTCTCCCCCTCTACTCTCTTGTAATGGACTGAGTTTTCCCTTTGAAGTTATCTTATCGGATTGAGTCTTTAAGGATTTGAGAACACTCGATGTATGTCTTGATGTGCTTATTTGTGGTGACAATGGGATATTCACGTGATAAACTTGATGTATGTTTTGGTGATCAACTTACGGGTTCCGTGACCTTGGGAATCTATGCATAGGGGTCGACACACGTTTTCGTCTGGACTCTCCGGTAGAAACTTTGGGGCACTCTTTGAAGTACTTTGTGTTGGTTGAATGGATGAATCTGAGATTGTGTGATGCATATCGTATAGTCATGCCCACGGGTACTTGAGGTGACAATGGAGTATCTAGGTGACAATAGGGTTTTGGTTGATTTGTGTCTTAAGGTGTTATTCTAGTATGAACTCTATGATAGATCGAACGGAAAGAATAGCTTCATGTTATTTTACTATGGACTCTTGAATAGATAGATCAGAAAGGATAACTTTGAGGTCGTTTCGTACCCTACCATAATCTCTTCGTTTGTTCTCCGCTATTAGTGACTTTGCAGTGACTCTTTGTTGCATGTTGAGGGGTAGTTATATGATCCAATTATGTTATTATTGTTGAGAGAACTTGCACTAGTGAAAGTATGAACCTTAGGCCTTGTTTCCTATCATTGAAATACCGTTTACGCTCACTTTTATCATTAGTTACCTTGCTGTTTTTATAATTTCAGATTACAAATACCTTTATCTACCATCCATATTGCACTTGTATCACCATCTCTTCGCCGAACTAGTGCACCTATACAATTTACCATTGTATTGTGTGTGTTGGGGACACAAGAGACTCTTTGTTATTTGGTTGCAGCGTTGTTTGAGAGAGACCATCTTCATCCTACGCCTCCCACAATTTGATAAACCTTATGTCATCCACTTGAGGGAAATTTGCTACTGTCCTACAAACCTCTGCACTTGGAGGCCCAATAACGTCTACAAGAAAAAGGTTGTGTAGTAGACATCAGCTTCATATTAAGAATCGCCATAGGTATAACCCGGCCCCTCCTGGGCGAGTCATACCTAATAGTTATATCCCCAACACCTACCTCTGTCTTCTCTGTCAAATTTTTATGGTGGAAATCTCTCCTGATCTCCAAATCTTCCAAGTCTTTCCCTTCCTTTGGCCAATCCTTTGTCTTCTCTGGCATGTTCATCAGTGTGCCCAGCAAGCTCTTGAGGACATTCTTCATGATATGCATTTTATCACGGCAATGAGGCGTGTCGTGATTGGGCCAGTACTCCAAGCCCCAGAAAACATACCTCGTTTTCCATACCTTCAGCAGCAGCTCCGGCGCCTTTTTCATCTTTCCTGGCGCGGGGCACTGTTCCCAGTTTTTCAACAGCTCGTTGATTTCGGCACCACGCCTCTTACGTGGAGGTCCTCGATGCTCAGCCAACCCATTGAATACATCTCCACGTTTTCTCCACGGGTCATCCTTCTCGAGCCATCTATGGTGCCCCATGTACACGATTTTCCCGGACCTGCCATCTTTCGTTGACATAAGTTGCTGAGACATTGTATCATCCATGCGCCTCGTGCATCCGCAGTATTTCTGGCACACCTGGCCTGAGGTG